TCAACATTCTTTCTATTAAAAGATTGGTAATAGATTCAAACTATCTTTCTAAAATAAATTTTCAAGTTAAAATGAGAAAAAATAAGCTTGGACTTATTGAAAATTATGCATTCCAATATTTCTTATTCTAAAATAAATTTTCAAGTTAAAATGAGAAAAAATAAGCTTGGACTTATTGAAAATTATGCATTCCAATATTTCTTATGTGTACGAAGTATCACTCTATAATAATTTTTTATAGTTTTTCTTATAAGAATTGGCTCTAATTTGTAAAATTGTTAAATACGAGGGTGCTATTGAAAAGGTATAAAGGTTTATGTAAAAAAAAAATATATCAAGAATAGTTTCTTAGGTTTGGGAAGTCTATCGGTTGGAGAAAAATTACTATTTGATGTGATATTACTGCAAAATAGGTTTGAGAATGAGTTTTTAAGTTGAAAATGGCTTAAAACACACTAAAAAATAGAATATAGACTTATATTCTCAATCTCTTCACCCTCCTCCATTGCCTTGAGTCTTTTCCTCCCAATTTCATCTCGCCAATCTTTTCGTACTCCCGCCAATTTCATCGGAATCCAAAGGACCAAATGTTGCTTGCCTGTATCAAGTTTGGATTGAGAGTCGTCCGATCAAAACTAGTTGACAAAAAGCGTGAGCAGAATCCAACGGACTATACTGCACGTGTAGAATTTGATTCAGAGCCGTCGATCAAAACTGACTCACAAAATGCGTGAACGGATGGTGACGTGGACTACAGTTCGGCGAAATTAGGTTAATTCGGCTACTGTAAGCCCACCAAACTATTTGAATTTTGAAACGCTTGCACGTGTTACTATACTTTTTTTTTTATAGAATAAAATGCAATTTTAGTCATGTATGTTTAATTACCATAACTTTTTCGTCATCTTCAAATTGTGTTTTTTATTTTCGTCCCGCATGTTTGCAAAAGGTTACAAAAATATCTTTTTCGCAACAAAAAGGTTTTTTATGTTTTGCAAAAGAAAGTTTCAATTTCGTCCTTTATGTATGAAAATCACATTTTTGTAATATTTCTGCAAACATATGGGACGAAAATCAAAAGGCAATTCGAAGAGAACAAAAAAGTTAGGATAGTGAAAACATGACCAAAATACAAATTTACTCTTATTATTATTTATTTTGGGCAGCAAAGGTAAATCGTGTGAATGGCCAACATGATTAATATTAAATTTCATCTCGACTAAAAAATTATGGGTGCATGGCAATGTTTTTAGAGAAAATTACTCTTACGACAAAACAGGGCATATATACGAAATTATTATTTTATTAGCAAAAATATTAAACATCCCCAATTTATTTTATTTTATATACAAAACTATATACATATATATTTTTTTTACTATTTAAACAGTGTGGTGTTGATGTTTTTGCAAGTACTAGTGTACAAATTTAATGAAATATATATATATAAAGATTTATCATTTTTTAAGAATAACAAGTCAATTTTCTGGTTAATT